AGAGGTGTGCATAGATAAGATAATAACTCAGCTTGTCTTTCTGTCTCAGTTGCACACGGTCTGCTGCATGGACATTTATTCATTTCCTACGTTTTTTCTGGGCGGAATCACAAAAAAAGCAAAAAGCATCATGTAATTCAATAGATTGCGCACCCTTTCGTTCATCACTGCTCAATGCAAAGTACAAAGTGCAGGCGGATCGATCCTCAACAGGTTGCTGGTCTCGGTCCGTCCATCGATCAAACTTCACTGTTTTGCCTTCATCTTCTGACTTTCCCTCCTTGTTTCAGTTTGAATCAAGCCGAGGTATGAGGGATGCTTTCAACGTTCACCCAGATCTTCTAAATCCTTAGAAAGTTTTCTCCAATTATCCTCATTTTCCCTGACCACTCACCCATCGTCAGAGCCTGCAAGTCAAAGGCAACCCGAGAATAGACTCTTAGAAGCAGTTGGTGCTGAAAGGTTATCCACATTGGAATAACCGTTCAGAACAGATCCTTTCTCGGATCGATCCACTAGAAAACAGATCCTGGGTTTGACGAACATTGCCACACTACAACTCATAAAAAAGTTTACCCATGCTTCTTGAAAACCATTCTAATCGCTTGCACAGCGATACTGGTACTGGTTTATGAATGGTGGAAATGTCGCTTCAAAATGGTATTCGTGTCAGTTAGACTTCGAATTCGTGTCATTTTTTTTNTTTTTTTTTTTTGACCCATTCGATCATCGTTGGCTTGCCACCATCGACCGTAACCATATACCTTGTTCCCAATCGATAACGTTGTATTTTTGCTGGCTGTTATTTTTTAACCCTTGTTTTGATTTGTTTCCTTCACTTAATCGATAGACTACTCTTATTTCATCTTACCCTTTTTGGGTGATATAAACTCTTAACAGTTTTCACTATCTATCTTCCTAGTAGTCCTTTACTGGTACCAATCTAGTTTCTGAACAACAAATAATCTCACATTTTCCTGGTTTTTGGGAAAACAAGTTGGCCTACGCACGATACCGTGCGTGTCCAATGGGTACTGTTATATATATTTCCTTGAAAATAAACTGTGTAATTGTTTTAGCAACACATTAACCACCCTCCTCCGAAAAAATGGAGAATACCGTTCTCCCACCCCAACTAATAGTGCCATAAGCCGTCTATCGTGAGCACACATTTCTAGCAAACTGCATTTGGCAAACATTTACAATCGTTTACGCGCATATTAACCGCGACAATCTAAAGAATCAGAGAAGGACCCTGAAATCACTCACCTTTTTGTTTACCACTTACCATTGTGGAACTGTACTTCACTGAAGAAGAAATGGTAATTTATCTGCAACTCGATCATTTATCTGCACCCATATGAGCGGGCGTTTGATAGCATACCAATAGACGATCTCGTTGGCCAATATATTGTTTGATGAAATTTTACGCAAAAATCATGATGAGCATGTCCAAAGTAACAATTCTGCCGAAGCCCCACCCCCAGTAGGCGGAGTCTACTCGTGCCACCTGTCATTAGTCTCCCATCTTGCCGCCTGCATCTCTGCCAAACTTGAACGCCCCAGATCCAAATTGACTATTTCACATGGACCCGCTCCAGTGGGCGGAGTGTACACCTATCTCCTACCATTAGCTTTCCCATTCTGCCGCCTACATCTTTGCCGAATTTGAACGACCCAGGTCCAGATTGACTATTTTTGAGGAAGCCTTGACAAGAGCAGGCGAAGTCTACACGTGTACCCTACCATTAACTTTCCCGTCCTGCCGTCTGCATCTCTGCCAAATTTCAGCGCCCCAGGTCCAAATTTACTGTTTTTCCCGAAGGCCCGCCCCCAGTGGGTGGAGTCTACATCTGTCACACAAAATTAGTTTTCCCATCTTGCCGCCTACATCTTTGCCAAATTTGAATACTCTAAGATTTCCTGTGAAGTGCACTTCGCGCAAGCCCCGCCCCCAGCGGGCGGAGCGCAGCTTAAGTCACCCATACCCAAGGAGTTCGGACCATTCTTCACTTTTTCCATCTTGTTTGGGCTGTTCCAGTTGATTTCCAAACGGCGCCATATAAGATAGTTAAAGACAAACAGACAAACAGAAAAACTCAGACAAACGAACATTTGTGGTTTATACATAGTAGGGAGTTTGTGCCTAATATTTTATCTTTCATGAAGTCATCGTACGCTCTTCTATGTCACTCCTCTTTGTTCAAACAGTTGTTTTCGTCTAGTTTTAATCACGTTCTTCATTCTCTCTTTTTTTAAATTCAATCCTCATATTGTGTCGATTTCTCCTATTTATTCACCTGGAATCGCTCCGTGAACTGTTTGTATTGATGAATTTAGGATATTTCAAGAATTTACGTATTTCAGATCTGTGAAACAGCACCGCAACGAAACTGATGGAGCTCAGGCACAGCAACACTTAAGGTCGGGTTGTGAGGAGGGCTGGTTCGGCATCTTCTCTCCAACGGCGTGTCGCGCTCGCCGCACGCGATCGCGCGATATGAAGGGAAAGATTCGAATTCCCAATGGAAGGATACGGGAAATCGCCGCGGAACCACTGCCACTGACCACTGGAATTTGGGGAAAAGTTTCCTTACCCGAGGAGGGCATTTAGTTGATTCAAAGGATGTACGACGGAGCTCAGGTAGGCTTATGGGGCAGACAAGGAACATGAAGCCAGCTACGATGCACTCGGATGATGGCCATGGAGACAAGAATGGTGCAGAAAACTTCGCTACTGTAATCTCGGAGCAACGCGTACCGAAAGGGAAAATGAAATGCGACGATTCACAGCTGTTTCTGTTAATTGAAGCAACAGGTTGACGGAGAGACGATGACCGATGAAACTTCAGCTCAATCGCCCCTGCTTCCGGAAATGGAAAGAATAGTCTAGCAGCCAACTACGTCGCTACGGAAATCTCACAGACTAAGCCCATTTCATGATACTTTTTGGCTGCTTTCACACTTCAGCGTCACCTAATAGTTTCTCCGTTTTTTTTTCAAAAGCATGTGGTCTGAAAACGTTTTCCATAGCCTTGTGGGGCTGTCCGAAGTGTGGAAGTAGTTTTGCTTTCTCTGATCGGTGTTGAAGCTGCCTAGCCAAGAGCGCAGTCCTCACCACTTCGATTTCAAACAGAGTGTCCCAAAATTATTGGCGCCAATATTCAGAAATTTCTAAGGTAGAAATATTATAATTCATCAAATTTACATCAACTGTTATTAATTAGTTGCATAAGAAGGTTTCCTTGCAATATGCATGATTACTGATGTGGAACTCCCAATATCTTTCAGATGGAGGTGGTTCATTCAATGCCACTTGCAATCATTGACATGCGAGAGGTGGAAGGGCATTGTGATATTCTTTGAGATTTTTATAATAACCGTATAGGAGGCTATTAAACGATATAGAAAAGAAGATTGAATCAAGGACAAACCAGGAAAGGTAGAAAGGTAGAATATTTCTGAAGAGAGGACTACTAAAATGGCCCGTCTGCTAATCGGTCGGGATTGTGGATGACCCATCAAAAGGAAGTTAACGGGCACGGCTCACAGAAGTTATCGCGATGGAAGGAAGTCATGCAGAAGCTTCATCGCCATTTCTATCGTATACAGAAATTTCGCCTTAATTCCGATTTTAACAGACACTGCAGGGCCAAAAAATGCAGTAAATCGCAGACCCACTCGAGTGATGACGCGCAACCCTTCGCCGTTTTCTTTAGCCAAAAAATTTTTCACTATAAAACCATCCCTCAACAACCAAAACGTTCGCGTTCCGGAAAGAAACATCTAGCGTGTAATATATCACAAAAAGGTTGCTATAAGAACGGTGAAACGTTGTTTTTCGAAGGAATCATTGGCAAGGGTAAGCCGCTCATGGTTTCTTCGGTGCAGGCATGAAAATTGACCAAGAACAGTACTCAAACAGCGTACTGATGGACGTAATGAAATACTGCCCGACTACGTTTCCTGAAACATCTCGTAGTCCTTCCAGCAGGAGGCTACTCCAGCCCACAGAGCCAAGCTTGCCCTCGAGTGGTGCCGACGGCAGCTGCCCGACTTCATTGGTAAAGAGGAATGGTGATTTTTTCCCAGAACTTGACTCACTTGACTCCCACTAATGGTCCCTGGTTAGAAGAGGACCTGTCGAGTTTGCAGTCCCAGTTTGGAGTCCTAGAATCAAAAGCTGGGGGACGGCTGGAAAGAAATGGAGAAGGATACCTGCGTGCCACATGCGATTAAGTCGAGAGCAAACTCTGACTTCTATCCGCGCTCATGGGGGACATCTTGAAATGCGGCAGTGGTATGTTATAGCACATAATGTTAGCTAGCATGCATAGAAATTCCATCGTCTTTCACAGCTGAGAAGTTCAAATATATTGTTGAAAATCGGCGCCAATGATTTTCGGACACCCTGTACAGTCTGCATAGGTGGGCAAACTCCAGAACGGAGAAGAAACTTGAGCTTATCAGCTTCACCACCGATCTTCAAATGCAGCATCTGCATTTGTCCGGATTTTTTAGTGCTTGCTCTCCTCGAAGCTCTTGCAGGGATGGCGTCGACGAAACCCCGTCCAAGCGTCCAACAACGAGCTATCCACGAATGGAACGGCAGCTCGTCCAAGCGTTCAATAAGGGGCTATCCACAAATGGAACGACCACCGAAAAAAGTCGCAGTCGATGTGGATTGTATTAATAATTACGAGCATATTGCGGTCCAAATGGGGACGAATGGTACGTCTTGCCTCTTGCCAAACACTTCTAGTGAGGCCAGGAAATAACTATCATATTTCAGCTCGCTCTAGCAGCGGCAGTTCCGGGAGGTGCAGCCGATTCTGTAAGAGAGCGATCCCGGTGAGGATCAGGGGTACGTTTTCTTGCTGAATACCGTCATTTATAGTATTACTCTACTCACTCATTTCCAACAATTCAGGTCGGCAAGCCTTCCGAAGCGCAACCCGTCGCACCGTGCCCGTTTGGTGATGTGTCCCGTCAGTCTCAGACCATATGGGCACGCGACGGCACTGCGATATCACGGGACTGGGATCGCCACAAAACGGTCAAGGTAGGGAAGCTTGTTTATGGAACTTCTCTTTTCTGTCTCTTCAATATGTCATTTTCAGCTCGCGAATGCCACCGCCGACTGCTGAGTTTCAATTAATGGCAGTTTCTTGGGAACGATCGGTGGCATTAAGCTCAAGGGTAAGGCACTCCACAGTTAGGAAGGTTTGGCACTCCCTAGGTAATGTGAATTGTCGAAGAAGAAATCTCTTTCCAGGTGGTCGCCTTTTTGATCGGCTCGAGACTCTTGAAGCCACGGCTCCACAATACCATGTTTTGACCGAACTGTATGGATTAGTACTACTGTTAGTAGGAATCGTCTACTTTCACGAGTGAGTTTTCCATCCATCGCTTTCAATAGTGCATATTGACTCGTGACTTGTTCTCTGACGTGAAGCGAATTTCATCATTTTTGAGGTGGAGCAACCCTACACTCCGAGCCGACGCTGTCCGATGCCCGACGCCTCTAGCCCCGTTACTCTTCGTCGTCCTTCGACAACGCCTGACCTCTTCGATGCCCTGATGCAACTATGCTTTGATTTCCTTGCGGAACGACTGGATTTGGACATTCTTCTGAGAGTTCTTCGACGTCCTTCGGTACCGCGACTCTCTGAGACCACCACACTTCTGGACTTCTTCGATGTTCCCCTGGCACCACCCGATATGCAGCATCACCTTAGATGTGCTGCTTTACGGCGACTGGCCGGTGGCGAGATTCAGTCTGTCGAAGCATCTTTTATGGAAAGGTGAAAACCTTCAGCTTTTTAAAGTATGTCGGTTCTCAGAGTAATTTGTTCACATTTTTAGGTGGAACGTCCGGTCGAGAGGAGCATCCAGCACGAGGACGAGGACGACGGACATTTTGTAGTAGATGGTGACTGGTGAGAAGGGCGCCATATAGGTTTTTTTTAGGTTTTAGTACAACTTTCTCTTTGAGATTTTAGATTTTTACTGTAGGGTATAATTCGAATCGTAGTTACACTGAGTTTAGGTGATCTAACTAAGTTGTATAGTATTTTAGTTTTGTTAGTATTATTTGAGTATATTACTGTTTGTTTAATTTTAACATTATTGGGGCTATTAGTTAGGTAAGAGTTCCCGGTCGTCATTCTCTAGCAGTTAATAAGCGGACGCAGTTAACAGTTTGGTTGTAAAAAGGGCAAAAGTAGCAGTTGTCTTTTGATCTTCAATTCTAGTTAGTGGTACTATTAAAATTCCATGCTTATACTCCCACAAAACCTGGCATAGTAGGTGATATGAGAAAGGGGAAAGGGGAGGGGGGAGGGGGTAGATGTAATGGACTCATATCCCATTGGCTTTTTCCAGTACAGCTTTTTCGTAAAAAGCGGCGGGGGGTGAGGGAAGGGTACGCAACGGGGCCAGGAGAAGGGGAACCACATTTGGGCTTTTTAATTTTCTTCGCTACCTTGTTGTTTCGTTAGTACAAACCTAATGCATCAACCATGATCTTAGTCGGGCCACTCCGATCCGTTTAGATCATGGGGAGGCGACCCTTTTTTCCACAGCACTATTTAAATAAGGCAAAGGGGAACTGCTCTTCTAAAAGGAATCTGGGAATCAGTAGTATCATGTTTTAAACTTCAAACTGAACTAGA